CTGGGCTGAACACATCCGTGCTGCAGGGCCGAGTGGCCACGGGGCTGGACCGCTAGGGGCTGGGGGGGCTTTAGCCATTCCCAACAGCGGAGGGCCTGCGTTCGTCACCAAAGCCCGGGTTAGGAAGAGATGCTTGTTTGTCTCTTTTCATTCGAAGCGGACATGGGTTTTGTCAAGGTATGAAACTGTTCGTGACAGCACTAGTCAACAAAAATAAAAGCTGTCTCAGTCCCTGGCTGACTGGTAGCGGTAACCTGTTGCTACACTCCTGGTAGAGGTAACTGGGAAAGAAACCTCTCCCTTCCCCCATTTAAATGAGTGGCTGCAGAAGGAAAAATGGTGACAGCCTTACACCATGGAGAACAGCAACTGGAAAAATCCTATGAATAATACCTACACTAGTTAGTGAATAAGGGCTCTGAGTGCAGACTGAATAATTACTTAAAAAAAAAACCACTTGTGTTGGCAGTTCAACACATCTCCCAGTAGCTTTGGAAGCTTCTTGGTTGACAGCAGATTGGGGGGGTTGCTAAAGTATCTGGTGACCTCTGAAGACAAAAAAAAAAAAAGATGGAATGGAAGTGTTTGTGGATGATCTTGTTTTTACCATATTTATTGTGCAAATATTAGATCACCCCTACACCATCCTTGTGTTTCTACATAACATCAGATTTTTTTTCCTACAGAAATCCAGTGTAAACTTTAATTTTGATTATAATGGCTGAGCTGTACTTGCTTATGGCTCCTGGAGTTTGTACATTTTTTTTTAACTGTCTAATGACTTTTGCACTTCAGATCTGGAAGGAAAGTAATCATCTGTCAACATGAGCTTAGATTATGCTGCTTCTTTGTGAATTTCCAGAGAAAGCCTGGCTTTTAAGTTGTCTAGCTGTCCTTTTGAGTCAGGACACACATTGTTCTCATTGACAGTAAATAGTGTCCTTGCAAACAAACTGGTCTGACCTGAATGGCAAGTGGTGCACAGTGATGTGTGGCTTGCACAGATCCAGTCAGTGCTGGTCAGTGAAGTTTTCTCTCAAGTGATAGGAAGATCAGACAGGTTTGATGCAGGATCAGCAGTTTCATCTCACTTCCCATAAACACTTACTGCATCTCTTCCCCTCTCATTGAGCAAATCTGATTGGCAAAGGACCACTGTGTAATGAGAATATAAAAAGTAACTTAGAATCCCAATTTTCCTTGTAGAAATTAACATTCTATCCTAGCTCCCTACTTTCACTTGCACAGCCAAACTTTTTGGCATATGCTGAGTTATAACTTGAGATGGAACGGTTAGAGTAGGCCGAATAGTAAGAGAGCCCTTCTAAAGCTAACTTAGTATATTACCGACTGTGGGAATTTAATCAAAGACTAATACAGTTCTTGGAAAATCCGCTTGCATTTTTTCGCTAGGAAACTCTCTTGGGCAAGAGCCATCAATTTCTGGAAAAACTAAGCTTTCTTTCACAAAAATAAAACTAAGCGTGCCAAATGTCCTATTAAAACTTATCAATTAACCTTTACATCTCTACTACAGAGGATTTTAGAAAGATGTAACTCTGTGTCTCCATCCATTCACTACTATCTGTATACTGAAACCTTCTGTACAGTATAGGCCAGTGTTGGGCATTGTGGTTTGACTTGCAGCCCTCAAACCCTCTGTTCGCCCCCTTTCCCTAGGCCTCTTGTGCACTAAGGCCCTGCACTTAGTTACTACTTCCCCTCACTTCAGGCACTTTTGGATCACTATGAATCACCTGATTTATACTCCTGCTTCCCAGAGCTTGAACACTGCAAATCAGAGAGGGGGTGCACAGGCCACAGGTGAAACCACAATAGGCCACAGGTTGCCCACCACTGGATTTGAATCTCTCAGTCTACTGAGACGAAGGAGGGCCACTTATGCAGACTGCTCATTAGTCTTCGTTGCCCATCACTGGTATAGGCCACTCAGTTACTAGAATACTGTTGCCCAGAATCGATTACAATGTAGTTTCAGGTTGCAGTGTAGTTGAGATTGCTATTGAACATGCCAAGGCTTGTCTAAACTTATAGCTGACACACAAAATAATTCAATTTACAGTACATGCTACAACCATATTTAACTTGGTCCCCTGCCTGCTGTGTATACAGGTCAAATGTTTTTAAACAGTTCTAACTAGAAAGGTTTATGTAGACAGGTCCTTCGAGCAGTTCATAACACACTTTTAAAAATTATATATATATCAAACTCTGGCAGCTTCTCCCCACCCATCACAGATGACTGCATAACTTTTAAATATGTTTTTCTTCCCTGGATTATCTGTTAATCCTATCAAGGAAAATGGTGTTACATGGTCTGCATTGTCCTCTGGCTGTTTCTCATCCAAACTCTAGTGACTTGTGTGCTTGTTAGGTAGAAGGTAGTCTTGCTTTCTCAGAAAATAAGAACCACTGTTGTCTGTGAGATGGGATTGGGTAAGGGAGGAAATATTTTGGAGTTCAAAGTAAAAGTGTGCTTCTGATGCATATGCTTCCCAGCTAGGGATGTTAAATATTGGTTAATTGAATAGTCAATTCACTTCATGAGTTCTTATCAATTACTCGACTATTCTATAGTGCCTGGGGGTGAGGCTGGCCCCAGTCTCAAGGAATTCCCGCCATTCCACACTGCTGCCTTTGTATCAGAGGCAGCGGTGTGGGGTGCCAGGCAAGAGCTGGTCCAGAAGGGGAGCCAGTTTAAAAAACATCTCTTCTTGTGGACTGGCTGCCTGTTGCCTTGTGCTGCTGCCTCTCACACAGAGGCAGCAGCAGCCCCCGTCCAGGGAGCATCTGAGCTCCTGGACCCAGCCTGACTCAGAACTGAGCCTGGTTGCCTGCCTGCTCAGCTCCTAATACACTTTAAATGCAGAGACACAGCAGGGATTGGTCCCAGACCTGGTGCAAACTGGGACTGAGCCAGGCTGCTGGTCAGTCTGCTAAAAAATGTACTGGTGGGGGGGAAGGGCTGCATGTATGTAGTCTGTAGCATTAACCTACAAGTTTTGCTTATCAGGTAGTCGATTAACCAATTACACTATTGCATCCCTGTTCCCAGCAGAATGTAACTGACTGTCTATTCTGTTACAGATCAAGCATATGATGGCTTTCATCGAGCAGGAAGCCAATGAAAAGGCTGAAGAAATAGATGCCAAGGTAACAAACAAAAAAAAGCTATGAGATCGTTTGTGTCAGGAACTTTGGATCACATCTGACATCCTGAGTTACTTCCCAATCATACCTTCAAAAACAGTTCTATAGTATTTCTAGATGCCTTGTTGTTTTTTGTCATGTAATTCCTGTATGTGGAGCAATTTAACTGTTGAATAAAGTTTGTGCCAGATTAATACAAACAAAGAAACTGATTTGAAGCCACTTTTCTACCCTTAGTATCCTTATTAATGCCTAGATGTAAGCACATTTGTATGCAAGATCATGTGTTGGCATGTTAATACTTCAGGGAAGCCCAAGGTGGTATGAACATAGATTCTGCATAAAACAGATTGGGTTAAATTGGTCCCTCTAACTGTGGTGGCATTACACAGATTTAATGTGACCCCATTCATTTATTGTTTTATTTAGGGCTTATATACATGCAAACTTTCCCCAAAATAACTACATTGGTTTTAATTCTCACATCTTTTTGGCATAAGTCTGCATGTGGACACTCTCATTCCTGAATCAAAATAGGACAGTTAATCCATTTCTGGCTGTGATTTGCAGCTATGTTAAGGAACAAAAAATAGAGGGTATAGAAGCATTCATGCTTTTAACAAAATGGGATATGATATGCCAAAGTTGTAAAGATCCATTGATTAACGTTTAGTGGTTAAATATATTACTCATCAGAGCCAATTATGTCTATTCATATTGGATAAACAGGTCTAAAGTATGGATTTATTGGCATGATAGCCAATGTCTTTTGGAAAGGAGATTGTGCTAAACTGTATATTCACACAGTAGTGTACTAGAAATTCTTATGCAAAGTGACAGATCAAATAGATTTCCTAATTGTTAAATCTAAAACCAGCACTATTGAGCCCTTAAGTATAGGTAGATGGTCAAGACTCCCAATATTTTTGTAGCTGAGTATTTGTAAATTGTGTGCAGCAGTTGCCATGTTTTCATGTGAGAGAACCAACTATGCTCTAAAAAAAACAATAACTCCCATATGTATTTTTGTTTAAGGCTTACCAGTATAGATTTCCTAATTGTTAAATCTAAAACCAGCACTATTGAGCCCTTAAGTATAGGTAGATGGTCAAGACTCCCAATATTTTTGTAGCTGAGTATTTGTAAATTGTGTGCAGCAGTTGCCATGTTTTCATGTGAGAGAACCAACTATGCTCTAAAAAAAACAATAACTCCCATATGTATTTTTGTTTAAGGCTTACCAGTAAGCGGTTCAATAATACTAAATATTATAACTGTCAACTTAGCACAATTATTTACTGTTCCCCCCTCCCCCCGAATCTCTCCCATCTCCTTTCCTGCTGCAGTCAAAGATTAAACCAGTTCTAGAATTCAGACTGAACAAGTGCCCTGGAGTTGATTTTCGGGTTACTCCTAGTTAACCTACTATTCTTTGTTCACTAGCCAATATTTGAGAATTTTATATCATCCCTGTTTTCAGGAATAAAAACTGGCACCTATCATTTGCTTTCCTGTCAAAACCATTAACTGAGCAGCAAATAATACAGCCTTAGTTCAGCAAAGAACTGAATTCAATGAGATTTAGGGAGCATGCTTAAATGCTTTGCTTAATTAGTACCTTGACTCTCATCACCTAGTCTTTCAATTCAGTGAAGTGAACTGAGTATCTTCTAGATCTATGGAGTTGACCTCAATTTCAATGGTGTAACTGTTTCTTTATAGGCAGAAGAAGAGTTCAACATTGAGAAGGGTCGCTTGGTGCAGACGCAAAGACTGAAAATCATGGAATATTATGAAAAGAAGGAAAAGCAAATTGAACAGCAGAAGAAGATGTAAGTCACTTATGCTGCCTGGCCTGCTACAGAGCTTGAAAAATTAGTAGCTTGCCAGCAGTACTCAATCTTTCTCTAGCACGTAGGGAAGCTGTAGCTAAACATTTCTGCAGAATCTGAGTTTTCACATATGGAAAAATATTTAAAGACTTACTGTTGAAAAGAAAATTATTTGAATGTGGACTGAGGCACTGTAATCTTCCTGAATCTGCAGACACATTATTGCTGCTCTTTACAACTTTTCCCAAACACACCAAAATTGGAAACTCTTCTGAAATGTGAAGCTGACCAGACATTGGAGCACATTATAGGAAAACCAATCCTAGTAAATTGAGGCTGGGGGTAGATAGGAATATAGGTTGAACCTCTCTAATTTGGCACCCTCAGGACCTGACCGGTACTGAACCAGAGAATTTGCCAGACCATGAGAGGTCAATATTGTCTAGCCGCATTACCAATACTTCCACTGCTTATGGGGCTGTTAGAAAATGTTTAGGGGTAAATTAGAGCTAAATAACACAGAACACTGAGAACCAGGACTAGTGGCTGTAAACAAACCTTATAGGACCGCAGGAAATTTGGACATATCCATAAGTGGATATCCAGCTAAATAAAATCATGCTGGTTGGACCATGGATGTTGCTAGTCCAGAGAGTGCCAGACTAGAGACATCAACCTGTAGTAGACTCCAGATCTTCCCCAGTTGTGAGACTCTAGATTGGTTTTTAGTAAGGTAGAGAAGAAAACTGTCTCTTCTGCAGCTGAAGGTATGTGAGGGGCCTTACTAGCAAATTTCAGATACATTAGTAAGAGACTAATTCTAAATAGTCCCAGACAGAATGCAGAGATAATAACTCTCCACCACACCTGCTGTTCTCTTTAGGTTTTTTTAATCTATCTGGATAATAGATATCTAGCAAACTCTGTATGCTATGACCTGCTCCTTCTCTGGCATAACTAATTCTATCAGTATTAGTCTTGGTGTCTAGTTTCTCTTGAGTAGTTCTTTTGTTTTTGTTGTCACTTCCACAAATTCAGTGGAGGAAGGTTTTTATAGTAAGTGAGGAATTTATCATGGCTGTTCTTGTAGCCAATTCAGCTAAATGAACAGGCTTCCATTCAACTAAATGAACAGGCTTCCATTCAACATCATACAGTGATGCTCTGACATGTAAAACATGCCAATAAAATATTTGTTGTGCCACGATCGCCATCTAAAACAAAGCACTGATTCAATTTTTCCATGCAACTTGCAGTCAGATGTCCAACCTGATGAATCAGGCAAGATTGAAGGTCCTCAAGGCAAGAGATGACCTTATTGCAGTGAGTATATAGTGCCTCTAAAGTGTATTCTCCTCATCAGAAGTTAAGGAATTACCTGATCCAGCCACTAAATAAAAATCTAATTTTTTATAATGATCAAGTAAGATGTGTACTTGAAGCATTTAAAAATGCCTTTGCTAGCTGTCTTTAAAACCATAAAACTCATCATGTATCTTCCTCTAAACAAAGTGCAGCTGCGAAAACATCTGTCTGCCTGGAATCTCAGTTGCAATCTGTGGTTAATCCCAGCCTTGACAGCAGCTGATCTTTATTCACAGAATGGGAAATGTCTCTTACACAACAGAGTGCAAAAAGAGGAACTGGGTGACAAGGCTCACAAAATGGCAAGTTGCTTTAGGCAACTAGAACTTAATATATGCTGTGATATTGAATGGCTGGGTTTCAACAAGCTTGTCAAGCACTTCCTGTTAACAACTGCTTCTAAAAAAATCCACATAGTGGACTAACTGTCTCCACAGTGGCCCAGGATACATGGAAAAGCTTTCATTTTGGTCCAGCTAGTGGGCCATTTATACCAGGGACGATGACTACTGATAACCCTGTAATCCTCTTGTCATAGATAATATCTGTTGCATTCACCAGGATAACAGTAGCCAATGCCTATTTATAGCTTCTCTGAGAAGAACCTACCAATCATACGATATGTAAAGTCCTTAGTCCTGTTTGAAGCACAGTATTATGTGTTTCTGAGACTTGGGATGTTAACTATTGTTTATTTGTGTGAATGCATAACTGCTGGAAATTTTAGTGCTGCCTGACCCCACTCCCTCCCCCCCATTGCCTCTGATAAAGAGGCAGCAGTGTGGGGGGCAGACAGCTCTGCAGGAGCTGATATGTGCGGGGAGGCAGCTTGAAAGCTGCTTCCCACGTGCACTGGCTCCCCCTGCACCATGCTGCTGCCTCTTTGTTGGTGTGGAAGGTAGTGTGGTGCGGAGTTGGCTCCCCACGGGCACCAGCTCCTGCTTCTTCCCCTCCTTTTCCCCCCAGCAGCAAGGGGGGAGGTTTACGTATAGTCAGTATGATTAACCGATAAGCCTAGACGTATCGATTAATCATGTAACTGTGTTCACGCATCCATATCAGTTATTAGCTGATGCTGCTGAGCCATCAGAATAGTCCTCCTGTTTGTGAGAAATTTTTGAAAGAGGGTTGGTAGGAAAGGATATCAGCACAGATATAGGATCTTTGATTCTTTTATCCTACTGTTTGTCAACCATTATGAATTTGGTCAGAAGTCTAATACTGTTTGTTAGAGGAGAGGGGTGATGAAAGAGTTAACTGTATCATGAAACAATCCATGTTGGATCATCTCTCCCTGCTTTGAACTGACTCAGTCACATGCTTCGGAATGGTGTGCGAGACATTTCCTTCCTCATTTTGAAATATTTCAAATCCTATTGTACTAGCCTTTTCTTACCATGTTGTTACTTGGTCTCTAAAAGGCTGGCTGGTAAGGGATGGGCACTTCCAGAAATTCTGTATTTTAGGGCAGAAGGCATAACTAGGTTTGACAATTAGGGGAACTTGGATTGATCTCATTAATAATCTAGCAGTCAAAGAATAATATGCATACTTGTTTATCAGAGACTTTCCTACCCCCATGGAGTCACTTGTGTCTATATTTCCCCATATCTGTTTTCTGTTTTAAAAGTTACAGTAGGACATAACTGGGTTTCATCTGCTGAAATACATGTATTATAACGTTTCAGTTCAGTACTGGGGGGGGAGACAAGGGAAAGAACTGTACTCAAGTCAAAACTTGGTAGATGGGAGGAAAGTAAGAAGGCAGAAACAGAAATCTTTAACATTGATTCCTAAAACAGGGTAAAGGACCTATGTGATATGAAACTTGTTGCTTTGGTTTTTTTCAAAACCAAAGATCCAGACTTTAATTTCAGAATTTACACTGACATTGACAGCTGCAGCATTTTACACAATTTACAGCAGACAAATAGATCTCAACAACTGTACTTGTTTGAGGTCTTTCAATGGATTGATAAACAAAGTACTTATTTTTATTAATGAAAACAGGACACTAGGAGCTATTAAAAATGAATAGCAGAACAAACTGGGCTGCTAGAATAATTAGTCTTCTTTAGGCCATGTTTAGGATGTTTAATACTGCTTTGATTGTACTTTATATAACTTATCTTAGAGCAGGGGTGGGGAGGGGCCAGGACACTTCCTGTGTTCCCTTCACCCACAGACCCTGATTGACCAGGGAGTGGGGGAGTGCATGAAGTCTTTGTGTCCCTGTCCCCCCTGGAACCTAGAGCTAGCAGTTCAGGTGGCAGTTCATGTGTTGTAGACCCCTTGCAGAGAGGGAGGAGACTTCGTGTACTTCCCCATCCCCCGGTCTCTATTGGCCTGAGGGCAAGGGAGCAGCAGGGCGGCCATGGGCCCAATCACCTGGCCCACAAAGGCTCTCTTGCCCATCTTAAAGTATTTAACTTCTCAAAAGCGGAGACAGCCAGCTTGAGAACAAGAAAAATACTGCTATTCTTTGGTACCAAATTCAGTCTAAATTTAATATCACCTACTGTAGGCTGTACTATTCTCCTAGGATGGACTCTTCTAGCTGGCCAGTTCTCGGATGCTTTGATCACTTTTACAGATGTAAACAGTTAGTTGAGTAGTCAACTACCTGATAAGCAAATGCTTATCAGGTAGTCAAGTGACTACTTGACTAGTTGCTTCCCCCATCTCCCCTTGCTGCTTCTATCAGTGGCAGCAAGGTGGGGGAGCAGGAGCCAGTGTTGGTGGGGAATCAGCTTAAGAGCAGGTTCCCCTCAGCACCATCTCTGCGGGGAGGCAGAGGCACAGTGGGGGACCAGGCACAAACCAGGACAACTGATTCCTGGCTTGTGTCCGGTCCCCTGCTGCGCTTCTGCCTTTTAAACGTAGTAAAAGCTAGGCAGCTGTTACTAAATTTAAAAGGCAGAGCCACAGCAGGGTTAGCTCCTGGGGCTGGGAGCTAATCCCACTGCAATATTGCGGTTTCCCCCCTTATCAGCTAATCAAATAGTCGATGGAAATGCCATCGACTACTCAGCTGATTAAACTAAATTTTACACACACACCCCCCAATCACTTTGCAGGCTTGCATTTTGCATGTGAAAGGTTTCTTAGGATGTTGGGGTAGGAGAAAAAAATTGTAGTCCACTGCTCTTAAGCCTGCAGTAAATCAGAAACATGAGGCAGGAGGGGAACTCAAGATGTCACCTTTGTCAATTCTGTCTCAGCCTGGTAGGGATAACTTATACCTGAACTATCCCTGACAAGTGTTTTAAATCTTCCTGTGATGGGGATTCCACATTCTCCCCAGGCAACCTGTTCCAATATTTACTAGTCTTATGATTAGAAAGTTTTCTTAATAGAAAACCTAAATTATCTAAGCTGATTATTTCTTATCCTGCCCTCAGTGGCCAGGGGGAACAATTGATTATCTTCCTTATGAAAACTTTTTACATATTTTAAGCTGTCTTTTTCTCAGTCTTCTCTTCAGACTAAATGTGCCCAATTTTTTTCAGTCTCTTAATAGATTAGGTTTTTCTAAACTTCTTACCATTATTGTTGCTCTTCTCTGGATTCTCTCCAGTTGGCCCACCTCTTAAAGTGTGGTGCCCAAAACTGAATACAGCTCACCAGCTGAGGCTTCACCAGTACTGAGTAGAATGGGAGAATTACCTCAATGTAGAAGTATGTCATCTGAAGAAGTGGGCTATGCCCACGAAAGCTCATGATACCATCTATAGCATGTTTTATTAGTCTTTAAAGTACTGCCAGACTATTTGTTGTTTAAGTTTTTCCTGTTACAGACTAACTTGGCTACACCTCTGAAATTCTTGCTAATGTTAGTTTGTGCTTTGTTTTTTGAGTAGCATCACACTGGTTCATTCAATTCACAAGCCACTATAACACCTTCATTTCTCTAGCCACTTACTCTCCATTGTGTATGTGCATTTGTTTTTTTTTTCCTTACTATGTGCAGTACTTTGCATTTATCATTATTGACTTTCATTTTGTTGACTTCAGACTAGTTCCCTGTGATCTGCTGTCCTACAGTACATTGTAGGAGAAACAACCTAAGCTTACTCAACTAGAATAGCATTAGTTAACTGAATTAGTACTGCTAGTGGATACATATTTTTTAATACAGTAGAAACTCCGAGTTACAAACACCTTGGAAATGGTTGTTTGTAACTTTAAACAAAATATTAAGGTGATCTTTTTTCAAAAGTTCATAATTACACATTGATTTAATAAAGCTTTGATTCTTTACAATGCAGAAGAATAATGCTGTTTCCCCTTTTATTTTTAGTAGCTGGTTTAACACAGTACTGTATTATACTAGCTTTATTTTTTCCCCCACATTTTTTGGTCTCTGCTTCTGACTGTGTACTTCTGGTTCCAAATGAGGAGAGTAGGTAGTTGACTGGTCAGTTCATTTTTCTGGTGTCATAACTCTGAAGTTCTACTGTACTATGACCTTCCTTTTCTATAAAAAGGAATCTATAGTCAAAATTCACTTTGACTACCGAACAGGGTAGTGTAGAAAGAAAATCTTTTGTGAAGGCTGTTCCATTCACAGAGATGAGGCTCTGGATTGACTTATCAGCTGCACTAGAAGCTTGCTTATTGGCAGGTTAAATAGCTGAACTAAGAGCATAGGAGGATGGTAGGTATAGAACCAAATGGACAAGCAGGGAGACTTTGTTGTCCTGATCTCTTCTTTCTGTAGGATTTGCTGCATGAGGCCAAGCAGAGACTTGCCAAGGTGGTGAAGGACACTGCGAGGTACCAGGCACTGCTGGATGGACTGATTCTGCAGGTAATGTAATCAAGCCATAATAAAAGGCTGACTGCATCCTTAGCCTCAAACAAACCCTCTGTAGAAGTACTGCTTCTGTTAAGAGACTACCTAAAATGGGCATTTTTAAAGCTTCCACTTTCAAACTATACTTTCCAGTCTTAGCTCACCAGGCCCCAGGGTACTTGAGAGGTGGAGTAGTAAGGGGAGCAGAAAGCTTACATTCTTGAGCATCTTCATCTGAATATGAGAGTAACAATGTTCACACAAACTTAGGATAACTGCTGCACTGTAACCTGTCTTTGAGATCACAGCTCCGGAGTGCACATTTCAGGTTTCTATTGCACATGCTTACATGAGCTTTTCAAATGTACACTCTGGAAAACCTCTTCCCTTCCCTCCCAACTTAAGAAAGTGCACAGTCCTTTCATTCCCAATTTGATACCAAATCTAGACTTGTATGGCTATAGCTTTGAGCAGCTTTGTTCCTTTCATAGGTCCTGCTCACCTAGACCACATGTATATTTATCTTAAGTTTCTAAACATTCCACTTCTGGCCCTTTTGGCCCCATAAGTTTTACTTTTGGAAATCTCGTAGATGCAAGCAAAGGTTTTAATGGAAACTTGTACTTCAACTATAGTGACTACCACTAGCAACTGCTCTTATCATAAATATTACCCTATATCCTTTTGCTGAGAACTCTTTACAGTGTGATTCTAGTTTTTTTCCTCAGCAGTTTCAGTTGCTATTATCTTCCAAGTCTTGGTTTTGATCCAGTATTTCTCTCCTTTTGTCAGACTTAGACCCTTCAATGTTGAGGGTGCCTTGAAATCTGTAATCTACTTTATTCCATAGCAGGGATCAGTAGTTTACTTCTAATTGCCTGACTTAACTGTGAGACCCTGCCTACTGCTGCTCACTTGCACTCTGGATAAATCAACTTCTCTATATTTTGAAAAGAATGTTTGTCTTGGTCAGAAGTCTTATGCACTGTGTGGTCTGTAGTTTATACTACTATCCACTTATTCCTGTAACCATATGACACAATTGGTATCTGTTCAGACATCAAAGACTACTGCAGGCCTTAACCAGAAGCTGCATATTTGCTCAGTGTAGTATGTGACTATTGACTCTTAGCCTGCCTTTTCTCATTTTTCTCAACACTGAGGGTTGGTTGTCCCAGTTTAGTTGCTGTTACACCCCAAAATCAGGATTGTTTACTTCCTGCAAGATCAAAGCCATAGGTTCTCATGGGTTGTCCAGTAATAGATAGCCAGCTCTATTTCAGAAAGATAATAGAAAGGGGACTTGTAACCAATGAACTCTCATCTTCGCTTTATGTAATAAGTAACAGCACAAAGTTGGTTAATCTTGTAACTAACTTACAGGGGCTGATGAATCAATTAAAAGGTGATGGGAGTTTCCTTCATCTCCTGTTGATATAATTGTTTGATGCAGGGTTTCTACCAGCTCCTTGAGCCCCGACTGATTGTTCGTTGCCGGAAACAGGATCTCTCTCTCGTAAAGGTAAGTGGGTTCTGGCTACAATAGCATAAAATGTCTCCACAAACAAAGCCATGGTATTGTGATTGCAAAGTTCTCCCGTTTTGGAATCTGTTAGGTAAGATCATAAGGCAGTAAGGCGATTCACTATCAAGAAAAACATTTCTGTTGGAAGAGAGGGGGTATTTGCTTTATTTATTTATTTGAAATATTTTTACTCTGCCTCTCTATTATTCTATGCACTTCAAGGTGGGCAGTGTCTTCCTTTGGTTGAGAAGTCCCTAGCAAACTTTAGGTACTGCCATAATTATAAAGAATGATGGCAGTTGCTACAGGCTCAAGATTGAGGGAGGAATAAATGTTTCAAAATAGACAGGTTAATAATCATTTCTCCTAAGCACCACATCCCTAATGAGGTTCAACTAATGAATAAGATTGTGGCATTTAATTGTTTGATTATTTTCCCTCCATGCCTGTTCCACTAATGCAAAGTAAGTAGCTGGCAGTTCTGTGCAACGCTAGTAGAGGATTCCATTTGTTTTCAGATCTCTGACCTGAAGTGGGATATCTATTGCATTCTAGGCTGCTGTACAGAAGAGTATCCCTGTCTACAAAGCTGCCACCAAAAAAGACGTTGATGTTCATGTTGATCAGCAGACATTCCTGCCAGAAGACATGTAAGCAATACAGTAGCTTTTTGCACTGTTAACTGTTGAGGGAGTCAAACTTCTCTCACGGAAATGGCAAAAGGAGTACCATCTGCCACTAGTTTGTGGGAGTTGGCTTTGTCTGATGCTGAAGATCTATCCTCTTGCCTGCTGTGCAGTTTCCCAGGCAACTAAATGATTATCTTGCATCCCCCAAACCAATTCACTGCACAGGGGCATGCTTGGTCTAGTCAATAGCATCTAGAAACTTAATACAACCTGTCAGTTGGCTAGAGGTGAAAGGAATGCAAGTGCAGCCCACGCTTAAGGGTCAACATAAAGCAAAGAACAAAATCATGAGGAGGCATACATGGGTTATAGGAGTCCCACTTATAAGCTGTGTCCTCCAAAACAGCTAGATAGTTTGTTTTGTAACACAGAAAAGAACACTTGGAATGTTACACTCAAGATTGAATGAACTTGTTATATATAGCTAGAAATATACAAGAAATAACATTTGTGAAGGTATCTGTATAGTACCTTTCCTCTCTTTCCAAAATCTGAAAATTAGCTCTTGTAGCCTAATTCATTCATGTGTATTCAGTGGTGGAGAGGAGGTTCAGTTAGTCAATCATTTTTCATACGTAACATTTCAGTAGTTTCCCTCTATATTTAAACACTAGGTGGCAATGACCCTTATCTGTTGATATGCTCTGCAAACACCCATATTAGAGCAATCTCCTTCTCCTCATCAGGCTATCCTAAGGGGATAAACTTGAAAAACAACAAATGGTCTGGTAGCACTTTATAGACTAGCAAAACGTGTAGATCTGTGGTCACCAACTGGTCGATCTCGAGGCCTCGACCAGTCGTTCGCTCGGCGTCCTGTAAGCCCTGCCCCCATTTCCCTCCCACCCCCCAGAAGCCCCACTACTTACCTTCAGAGAAGACGCTGGGGTTTGGCCCCGGGGCTTCCCGGCGCGGGGAGGGGGTTGGCGCCGGGACAAGCGCCCGCGGGGCTTCCCTGCGCGGGTGGGGGGGTCGGCCCCCTAGGCAGGCGCGCGCTGGTTTCCAGGGGGTGGGGGAGAATGCTGGGAGTAGGGAAATGGAGGG